GAAGATATTTTAACGTTTACCAATATATTATTGTGAGTTGACCATGATTGATTTGTCAGAAACTGACAGTTTGACATTATTGTTTATTAATTCAGTATTGGGGTACATCGTAAATTAGCAACAATTATTATTTGGCAATTCAATAATTTTTTCAATTTAAATTAGCAATAATGAATTTTGCTACTGAGGAAATGATAGATAAATATGATCTGGATATTGGGGAATGCAATAAAAATTCATTACTATCAGCTAGAATTTATCATGAACGGTTTCCAGATAGGCGGCAACCTAGACAAGATACATTTGAAAAATTGACAGATCAATTTAACCGCACTGGTTCAGTGGATTATGAAAAACATGAACGAAAAAAAACTAGTGTGACAGAGGAAAACGAAATGAGTGTGTTAATGGCAGTTACAGAAAACCCACTCACAAGTATAAGGAGTATTTCCAATAAGCAAGAACTTAGTTACTACTCTGTTCAAAACATTCTATCTAAAAACAAGATGCACCCATATCATATTCAAAAGTACCAAGAATATAATGATGATGATTTTCAGAAACGAATAGTATTTTGTGAATGGGCCTTAAAAAAAATTATTGAACAGAGATTTTTTTTGATTATATCATATTTGGTGATGAAGCTGCATTCCACTGAAACAGTTCTGTTAATAGGCATAAATAACTTTCACTACTATTCAACAAGTAATCCATACCAAATAGTAACACATAGTCAAACAATATAATCTTTAAATGTGTGGGGAAGTATCGTGGGTAACCATGTAGTAAAACCATATTTGTTTAAATATAACGTAAATGGTAAGATTTATTTAGATTTTATCGTACATCAGTTACCGAATATTATTAGAAGAGGTTCCACTTAATAAACGTGAACAAATGTGGTTTCTACATGGAGGTGCTTCTGCGTACCACAACGAATTAGTACGTGGTGAACTTAATAATCAGTTTGGTGAAAGATGGATCTTAAGGGTTGGCCCAAGGTCACCAGAATTCAATAAAGTGGACTCATTTTTTTGGGGTTACATTAAGGATGAAGTATATAAAATACCTTCAACAACAAGGGATATAAAAAATGGAATCCGAATTGTATTTCAAAATTTTTCTTTATAAATGCTTAGTAATGTAAGTAACTTTTTCAATGACCGCTTTCAAGTATGCATAGATGTTTTGGGAGGTCATTTTGAACACCTTACTTAAGTATGATTAGTTAAAATTACAGTTGTTTTTTATTTTTTTTTGTGTTGTTATTTTTTTTATTTTCTGTCGATTATTTTTTATAAATTTTATTTGAAACAAATTGTTTTCTTTTCTGTGTCGTTATCTCGTTACTGAATTAAAAAACAATAATGTCAAACGGCCAGTTTCTGACAAATCAATCATGGCCAACTCCCAATAATTATTGGTAAAAGTTCAAATATCTACCAAATTAATACTTATCTAGAAAATTGATAACTTTAGGTATAGGGAGTATTCCATAAAATGTAAAGTACGATATTAGTACTTTTCGATAGTGACTTAAAATACAGGTATGTTCTATTTAAAATTATCAAGAAAGTAATGTACTTGAATTTTGACTTACCCTGTATTCGAATTAACGAATATTATGAAAACGAATATATTTTACAATTTTTAACAATTATTAAAAAACTATGGTTGCAATAGATCAATGGACCTAATACTCCTTTTAATTATACAGGGTTTAACTTGATACGATTTTCAGGTAATATTGGTTATAACTTTTTAAATATCCGGTATAACATAATAAAACTTTACATTATTGTGATGTGGAAGTGAAGCAGATTACAAATTTAAAATAAAATACAGGCGTTTCATTTAAAAAAACATAAGTTTGGTCTGCCACAATCTTATAGAACACATAAAATGTGAAATTGAAATACATAAAAAAGGAACAGAGATACAGTTAACAGCGCCTTCCCCCTCCCTTCAGCTTCCGAGAGTTTTTAAAGCCAACGGATTTTACATACATTTTGAAGCTTTATGGAGGATTCCATTAAAGGGCAATAATTTTAAAATTTAGTAGTTTAAAACTATAATGTATATTCTTTCAAATAGCGCTAATTCAGATTTCTTAATTGTTATAAACAAATGTGCTATGAATTAAACAAAAAAAGAGGCTAACTTTGTACCAAATTATTTTAGGACAAACTTTTTTTTATTTAAATTTGTGAAAAAAATTCAAGCTTTTTAAATATGTAAAAATAATATTTTTCATCAATGGTTAAAAGTTATTCTAATTGTTTATAAGCAAAAAATCGACATGTTTTTGCAAAATTATTTTGCAATATTTAAAATTAATTTTCTTAATTTTTTTTAATGTAAAATAATAAAACAAGTCTTCTTCTACCAGAGAACAACCCTTGCAATTTCTAAAACTGTATAAATTTCTGACTTATATTGTTGCAAAAAATGTTAATTGGGATAAACAAATAAAATAACTTTTAACTATTGGATCGATCACTTTGAAATTTTAACCCTATTTTAAGCACTACAAGACACATCACTCCATGAAATATAAATATTTATACGTTTATTTTCAAAAAACTTAATAACATTTATAAAAAACCGAAATTTTTGACTTATTTTGCAACTTTCTAAGCAACAAATAAGGATAGAAACATTTTGAAAACGCCATTTTGAAGGTTTTTATATAACTTATAAGTTTTCCTTTCTTCTAAAATTTGTTTAAATTGCTTCCACTTTTTGCTGATAGCCGAAAAAAGCAAATATTTTCGGTTTTTTGAACTTAATTTGTTATATACCTAATTTAGTCCAAAAAATCGACTACAGGAAACATATAGGTTTTTATTACAGAGGTCCACACTACTCAAAACAACTGTTGTTTGCCTGGCCGGACGAGTGTCAAAAACAGGGTACTTTTTTACTTATTTCCCTGGCCTACTAATAATTGTTTCTTAAATAATAGTATGAGTTATATCTATATTTTAGATATAAATTGTTTATTAAAAACCGACTATTGCTATCATATCTATATCTCTCTAATGTCAATACTTAGAAAAACCATTACTCAGTTTAATCTATTTGGTTTTTACAAAATAATTTTTCTATTTATTTATTGAATCGAGTTAACTGGTCGATGAAATTAATTTTATATTATGATATGTTCTTTAATTTAGACCAATTCAAACCATAACAAGATATATATATATATATATAATATATATATATAATATATGTAGAAAAGAAATTTAATCTTTGCAGATAAGTTAAATAGAAAACTCTTAAATATTAGGAAATCTGCAAGAAAAACTCTAATGTGTACCGTCCCCTTTCTTCTCGACATAAGGATGATTAGGAAAACAACAACATTAAATTAGATTGGTATCAAAAACCGATCCATTCTGGTAGATACCTTAACTACCACTCTTACCATAATAATTCTACCAAAGTCAATTTAATCAAACAGATGAAAAATAGAGTAATAAAACTATCAGATCCTTCATTTCATACAAAAAACCTACAAATCCTACAGAAACTTTTTATTTCAAACGCTTATCCAACACCATTAGTGAATAAGATTTTGTTTAACACTATCCATAACGAAGATACTTCACCTTCATCGTGACTAACAATGCTGATCCTGATGTCTTAAGTGGGAACCCAGTCTCGGATTATCCTAACAAATATTTTTCATTACCATATTTCAGAGATATCACTTCGAGGTTAACAAGGATTCTGAAAAGTGTTGAAAATAGCTTTGGTAATAATAATAATAACATTAAACTTAATGTGGCTTGTAGATCAGCCCTAACAATTAATAATCTTTATTCGAAGATAAAAGATAAGACTCCCATAGATAGGCTTAGTAACATTGTCTACAACATTCCATGCCTCTCTTGCAGCAATTCCTACATCGGCCAAACATCTCAATTATTGAAATCACGTATTACACTACACAAAAGTGATTCTCGACTTCACCCTGACCGCTGTGCATTAGCCAAACATGTCCATTCCACTGGTCATCTCATGGACTATACTAACACTACAATTCTCCACCGTGAGAACAATAAATCTAAAAGAGAGTTCATTGAAATGTCTTATATTTTCCTTAACGATTTCTCCATCAATGTTAAGAGTGACATTAAGAATCTAAGCGATATATACCACTTCTTACTTAAATCAGATACCAAGAACAATACAACATCACAGATAACTAACTTGACTGATATATCCATTAACAACTAACCTACTTTAATAATAATTTTCATTAACTAAAAAAGATAACATTCCCTTGCTTTTCTTAGATACATCTCAATAAGATATTATTATAATAATACATGAACAATATACTATAATTAAAAAAGAATTTCAATTAAGAAAATTCTAAAATAATATTTCCCCAAACTGGGATTTAACTTCATTCGGTTTTACCAATGAACCTTAACGACATAAAGATTCAAAAGACTACTTGAATTGTCAGCACATGCGTTCTGAGAAAACAGAACCTCACATTTAAACTTTATAACAATCAAAAATTTAGTTATTGCCGACAATTCAAAGAATTACTTCCTTTTAAATGTAGTTTACATTGGGTTTTTCGATTAACCTTGGGTAAACCTTTGCGTTTTAAGTTCAAAGCTACCATACATTTCCAACGTTAAAAAAAACTTTTTTTGCACATAGTAACAAAAAACACCACTATGTTGTTACTAGCTAAGTTTTTTAACATTCTAACTCGACAATTCTAAAGTTACGGTAAGATCAATAATGTTTTTTAATAGATAATATATGGTAGCTAATTATAATTTATTCTCTTTCAGCCCTGAAGAAGCCAAATTAATTCTCTTTGGCGAAAACGTTCGGCGAAACAATTGATACTCATTAGAGTTTTCTTGCAGATTTCCCCAATATTTAAGAGTTTACTATATATATATATATAATATATATATATACTATATATATATAATATAATGTTTCTTTTTTCAATCAATTTGTTTTAGGAGTTCTTCATTTTGAAATGACCATCGAAGCAGTACCTGATTCCAAAACTAATATTAAAGAAGACATGATAAAGATATTTGAGACCATAGTCGATGAGAAGAATAACATAATTATTCCAAATTTTAGCGACATGGTGGAACAGATTACTCCAGATGAAGAGCGAATGTATGAAAAAATAAATGAGTTTAACATTGACGAAATAAGGTATAATATTAATATGAATATTCGAATAATCGTCTCTGTTATTAGTCTGTTTCTGAAAGTTTTTTTTTATTCTTCTCCCGATCGTATAAGTGTTAAACTATTAAAACGCATTTATGATTGTCCTTGTTTTTCGTCTCATCTACCGTATAATTTTCCTTCGTTACTTGTCTTTATTCTCTTTTAATGTAGTTTTTTTATTGCTGCAACATAAAAATTATATTTTTTGGAGACCATGAACGGTAGATTAAAAACAAAAGACGTATGTCTTTTGGGGATCAGGACTCATGATTCAAGATAAAACAGGTCATTTTGTTCTCAGATAAGTATTATATTTCAGCAAACTATACTACTTAGTTTATATTTGTAAATTTTTATTTTACTCGGGTGACATATTTTTATTGTTAGTAATCTCTCCGATCTCAAACAATTTTTAAATTTTCCAAAATTAGAGTTCTACACAAATTACCCAAACATTTTTGGCGCGCTTCTCTAAAAAAGTTTGCTATTCGAAGTGACTCATCCCACCGACTTTTTTTTGTACATCAAAGAGGTTAAAATCAATTTCGACGCAAATTCTCGCATTCGCTGACGATATTGTTATAGTAAGCAGAAGTATGAGAGACATGGTGTAGTATTTTACAACGAGGCGGCAAGTGAATTAGGACTTGTGATAAACGAGGAAAAAACCAAAAATATGTTGGTTTCTAACAACTCCCAAAATATCCAACAGAGAATTCAAATTAACAACCATACCTTTGAGCAAGTCAAAGAATTCACATATCTTGGATCGCTAAGTAAACGCAGCAACAAATACGACAAACGACGAAATAAAAAGACGCATAGTCATAGTAAACAGAATGATTCACGGTATCCAGAAATATTTAAAAAATAAAAATATAAAACGTTAAGCTAAATTAATTACTATTTAACTGGGAATAAGCCTCAATTAAAGATAAAAAAATACGTTTATTGACGTTTCAATTTCCACTTCGGAAATCGTTCTCAAAATACAAACAGTAAATTAAACAAATTTTGTTTTTTGCTACATAGTGAAAAATTCTTCTAATAATTTAATTTTATCTGACTCATTTATATTGACAATTCAGACATACATTATGCATTTTAAAGTAGACGACTTTAAAATGATATTGCCAATATTGTTGAGTTGCGCTCCTGGGACGACTTTACTTATAAGATAGTTCATTCGATTACATGAAATCAACTTTAACTTGAGAATATCCGTCAGAAAAAAATCATAGCATGTAATTCGTCTTTAAAAAGACAAACACATGACATGATGACAGTAAAATTCTCCTGTTAGTGATTCCATAGTAAATTATGAGGAAAAAACCAGGAAAAAAACCTCATAATACTATCCCGACATGGTAAGTATTTGTTCGTGCATTTAGTTTACCTTCAATAAACACCAAAATTCTGATTTTATATGTTTCGTTATTTAAAAAACATAAATGATGTATCCTCTATATGTTACTGACTTACTAATACTGGTATTTTCTTATTAATAACTTCCTCTTTCAATATTGTAACCAGATCCTACTACATTCTGCCGAGGAATTTGCGACTCAATTGGCCTCATTTAGGATAATTAGACCGCTTCTTTGATTTTTCTTTTTTTACTTTCCGTTTCTTTTAGGACAACATTTGAATTATTCCATTGAACCCTATGTTCATTATCCCATGCGTGTTTACATATTTGAGATTTACCAAATTCTCTATTTTTAATATAAGATTGATGTTGACTTATTCTAACATTTAATGGCCTTGATGTTTCACCTAAATAAAACCGATCGCATTCACACGGTATTTTATAAATGCAATTCTTTGTCCTTTCTTGTTCATTGTTAGGTTTGGTTTTGGACAAAATAGATCTCAAAGTTGATGAAAGACTTCTTGCTAATTTTTGAGAGAAAAATTCTTAAAAAATTTTTCGATGTCGTAAATTAAAATGGGCTATGGCGTCCAAGATACAACTTTGAACTGTATCAGATATACACCAATCCAGATATTGTGAAATTCGTTAAATTGTAGAGACTTAGGTGGGCTGGATACATTGCTAGGATGTTAGATCACGAATACACGAAGAGATTAACATTTTTAAAAGCAGATGACGACCACGGCGGATGATGAAGGAAGGATTGATGGTGTGGAAGAAGACTACAGATTAAAAAGAGTCAGAAAATGGAGTGAAGTTGCCTGAAATCGACAGGAGTAGCGACTTCTTTGTGAGCAGGTCAAAATCCACAACGGATTGTCAAGCCACTTGGATGAAATAAATGAAGTGATAAAAATAAATTTCCAGAACAAGTTTTTGTTCCGTTATCTTAGTGAGTTGCCAGATTTTGCATCCATAAAGTATAACGCTTGCAAAATTGTTGTTTTATACCAGTATGTTTTCTGTTTAGACATAGTTATATGACTAGAGTAATGAGATTTGGGTCACAGCCACCTTTACTTTCCAAGCCATGAAGTAGAAATTTGGCAACTACGTGTGGTAGTCCGACCGTGGTTTGTTTTGTTTAACATTTCATATAGGAAGGTTTGTAAAGTTTGTTGAATTAGTGTTTTTTTAACTTTATTCGAATGTTTTATTTGTAAATTGTGTTTAAAATCAATCAGAAAATATTAATATAAGTGAAATTTTAATAAGTTTAGAATATTTTAAAAGATTCTTAATGACAATTTAAAAGGCAAGTATAAATATAACCTACAAAACAAACTGAAAATAATAATACTTTTGCTTCTTGTTACAAAATATGTAAACTAAAAACAACAATAATATATTTTGTTTTGTTATAGATGCCCTGGCATTGTTGTGTACCTGGTAGCAAAACCAATTATGCCAGTACTTTAAAAACAAAACAGGCAGAAAGTACGTTTTCGTTTTCCAAAGATCCCAAAGAAGGTACACTGGGTTATGCTCTATTCATAGAGGAAGGCTATACAATTACCAAATCTTCCTTAGTATGTGCCAAACATTTTCATGAAGATGATATTCAGCGGACTGAACAATGAGAAGATAAGATGGAAATGTACACATTGAAAAGTTAATATTTCCCAAATTAAAAGACAATGCAAGTTCATAATATATTTTCTGAAGTACCATCATATGTAAACTGTTCATCATACTCAAGAAGAGGGAACAAGAGATAACAGAATCCTTAGACAATGATTTAATAGAATCATTTGAATCATTTTTAAGAGACTTAGACAATAATATCCCATTGAAAAACTGGACAAGTAAAATTACAAGTGACTGTGTATATTTCATGTATTAAACATTAATCAGTTGGGACACGAGTGTGATAATATTTGTGTAATAAGTAGTGTAATAGTTAGCAGTAATTTTTAGTGTAATCGTCAATGTAGGTAAGAATAGATTAAGTAGTAATGATTTGAAATGGATTTTACAATATAGTAAATTAACAAGATGGTCACAATTAGAGAACTTACTTTCTCGATATAGATCTGCTTTTTAGATAAGTGATAACAAATTTGAGTATTACATTCAAAAATCTTTTGAGAATATAGACTATTTTAAATCCATATACAAGTTATAAATGGTATGTTACATTCAACACATTTTTCATGTATACCTCTTTTAACTTGGTCTATATGACAAAAAACCTATTCATATATAAAATTGGTACTTTCGTATACCTAAGTATGAAAATTCAACAAAAGTTATAAGTAAATAGTAAAATATTTAATTTTCAATTAGATTATTTTGAACCATATTTATATTGTGTCTGATTTCTTAGGATCAATTTTTTAATCATAATAGTTACACTAAGTTTTTACTTAACAAATTTTATATCTTTTGTATTTTTAATAATCTTTTTAAATGTAGTGTTAATGTATTGTGTTATTTATATGCTTAAGTACTTAATATTTAAAATTTCTAGAGATTCTTGACTGCATTTGATTGTAAGATTAACTGTTTGACACTGTATTTTAAGTGCAATAAATTTTACTCTATTGATTATTTTATTGATAATATAACCTTAATAATAATAAAACTTTATATATATTTATTAGGTATATATAAGGTTTTATTAATTTAATTTCCCTAAAAATATTTCTGTAATGAATTGAAGTTTTCAAAATATCAGTTTCTTAAAATTCAAATTAGTTTAATTTTCTGGTAGACATGTGGTAGACCTTACAGCTGATTATCGGACTACCGACGTCATAGAATGCGGTGTTGCCTTTTTTACTTCATGGCTTGGAAGTAAAGCTGGCTGTGGTTTGGTGCGTCTATTATTTGTTTACGATTTATGATTCGGTACGTCCGTCTCTTTCCATCTTTGCTGCCAAATAGATATATTCGGAACACGATGAAATTACATTTCCATCTTCTGAGTTTAGTTTATCGTTGTTAGCTCCTTCTATGAGAAACAAAATGTGTAAAAGGTGTATTTCGTTTTTCTTGTATTAACATTTAGTCCCCATCTCTCATCTTGCTAAATTAATCGCTTTGTAACAATAATTGCGACAATACGATGAGGATTTTTTGTATTAACCGCAATCAACAAATAATTTTATGTCCTCTCTCCTTAGATTTCGTATGGATCTCCAAGCTCCGAAGATTTGCTTCCACCTAGACACGATTTTACTTCCTCGCATATTCGTTTCCACGTTTGGTTCTTATGTCTTGTAATCATACTTTTTTTTTAATTGCCGTATTACCAGATTCTAGTAAGAGCCTAAGAAGGTATCCCTTAAATTCTGGCAGGCAACGGTGGGGGAAATCTTTTTTGGACATCTCGGAGCAAGAGACCCTGGGATCTTTCGACCGAGTAGTCTACTAGGTATACTAGGCTAGAAGACCCCAGGGTAATGCCGCCATGTTCCCAGCTAAAACCTTAACCACTGTTCCAGAGAGGTGGTATTGTCACTGAATAAACAATTAAAATAAAAAACTAAAAACTTAATAAATAACTAATTAACAATACCTATTACCGTAAATCAGAAAAGATTTCAGACGTTGGGCCATAAACTAATAAATAATACTAACAATAAATTTCAGATCCCTGGTTTAATTTCCTCCTTTGTCCTCCTGCTCCTTTTTCTTCTTCAACCCAGAAATCAGACAGTGTATTTATTTCCATTCTTTCTCTCCTCCCAACATTATGTTTACCGTGTTTCTTTTATCTAGCCCGAAACCCATTCGCCTCTCGAAATCTTCCCTCTCATTTGCTTATCTCTGGCAGTTAAAATTGCGGACAGGAGCGTCCGGTACTCTACAAACAGTACAGTCTGCCGAGGAAGATTTGCCTATTCTATTTGTAAAGGTGCCAGAACTACTATGTTCGGTCAGAAACTGCGTTAGGAAGTAGTCTAGTTTCCTGAACTTACATACCCACCACGGCCTCAGATCGGGAATAGCTCCTTCGTCTACCTTGCCTCTCCGCTATCATTTGCCCATTCTCTCTGCCACTTTACTATCGTTCCATCCATTACACCCCTCGCTCGCTCTTTGCACAACAAAACGATCGGTATCACCGCTCCAATGCCATATAGAGTCTCATTTGAAATCGTCCTGTATGCGCTAGATACCCTGAGGAGCATTTGATTATGCAAAGTCTGCTTAGCGTATGTAGCAGTATTCAGTACACCACACTGGGACAGCGTTGGTTACCACCGACTAGAAAACTCCATTTGGCACCTTTCTTTTGGTGCTACATGGGCCTCCAATGTTTGGCATCAGCAATATTGTGTAGTATTAACCATACTTTAAAAAAATCTTTGTTGATTGCGTTATTGGTTTTTGTCGTCTACTTCTTGGTAGGTAAGCCATTTGATATACGCTCATTGTTTTATCTAATTATGTTGTTCTAGTTTACCACTTCATAATATGCATACATATAATACTACAATTAATTGGCGGTAAAATGAATCACCTTGTTAATAAGCCACACCACTGCAATCAATAATAATGAAATCCATAAATATACAAATACACTATAAGCAAATTCAATAATTTCGAAATGAGAGTAAAATGTTCTGCTAAGTTTAAAGTGAAATAGCTTAACACAAAAGTAACTGTGCAAAATTGTAGGTATATAACAATTATGCAAGTAAACGGTACTTGCTATAGAACAGCAAATAATGTAATTGGTGCATGGCTGTGTGGTATATACAATACAGTATTAGCTGTACACATAATGTGCGTAGGAGCAAATCAGGAGCAAAAGTAATTTAGGAAGCCGGTAACTACACAAGGATCTAGCTAGGTACACCCCAGTAATATCTGCCTGAAAGCTTCACGCAGTTTGGCATTTGGTGTCGTGTAATAAAATTATGCGGAACAGTGAAACTTTATTAAAATTAAATTCAACAAAAAAAATAAATACATATTTTAAAATAAATAAATAAGGTCTCTACTTAAACAACAATCTGATGGTCAGAGTGATGTCATTGTAAAGGTAATAGAAAAATTCACTTATATAAAATATATAAAATAAAAAAGTCTAATTTCATTTTCAAACACATTAATGGACACGCTTCACATGCAGATACGTCTGTTTCTGCAGTAAGTGTCTACACACGCAGTCGTGTCAGTGAATGTGTTAAAAAATGAAATTTGTACTGATATCTTCAGAACTTAAAAATGACCAAGTACCTTTTCAACATAATAAAACTTTTATAAACATAAAAAAGTAAAATAAAAACACACTTTAGACTTCTTAAAATTTTATTACGACAGATATGTACAAATTTATCCATTTCCACAGTATTTTTTTAAAATCTGCTGTAGGAAAGTGTTGACAGTAACCTTATTATACTTACTTATTTTAAAAAGTCCTATAGATCACAGAAATGTTTTCTTTCTAAAAGTATATATAGGCATCCATAATTTAGGCACCTATATAATTGTCAACTTAGCTTATTGTCAATTGTCAACTTGTCTTATCGAAAGCTTAAGTATGAATAGTGCTGAGATGGGAATTACTATAATTGCTAAAAAACGAAGTAAATGCTAATTACAAAAAGACCACAAAATATACATCACCTATTGACAATCAATGGTAACGTGATAGAACAAGTAGAAAAATATCAGTACTTGGGAACTTTGATCAATGAAACCAATGATTATACTGCAGAAATAAACAGGCGAATAGAGATTGCCAGATCAGCATTTATACGAATGAAGCCACTCCTAACGCGCAAAAATCTAAATTTGGAGATAGACTATGTACCATTCGCTGTTATATATTTTCAATATTATTATATGGAGCTAAGACTTGGACATTAAAAAAATGCAATTTAGAAAGAATCGAAGCTTTCGAACTCTGGTTATACCGCAGAGTATTAAAAACATCATGGACTAATAGAATTACAAATAAAGAAGTACTGGAGAGGGTTGGTAAAGAAACAGAACTAATCACCACTATACAAACCAGAAAACTGGAATACCTAGGCCAGTGATGAGGGGACCAAAATATGAAATTTTGAGACTCATAATACAGTGAAAGATTCAAGGAAGAAGATCTGTTAGCTGAAGGCAGAACTCATGGTTGAAGAATCTACGTGATTGGTATCAATGCAGATCGATTGATTTGTTTAGAGCAGCAAGTTTGAAAATAAAAATAGCCAGTATGATTGCCAACCTCCATAGGAAGCCGGCACTCAAAGAAGAAGAAATTGTAAATTTGGGTGTAAATTGACACAATGGGCACTTTTGTTCCTTATTGATTACTATATGTTGTGATCTTCGGTGCATAATTAATTTTTTTAACATGTCAAACTCAGTACTAGCATTGCTTGCAATTAATTTTTTTACCAGGAACTAATGCAATTTCTCTAAAAATTCAACAAAATAATAAGTAAGTAGGACAGATAAATAATAGGGAGGTTTATGACCTGACATACTGTAATCTTTACAGATTTATTGTGAACTGTTTAGCCCCTGTTTCTGTCGTGGCATATTTTTCCACCACTCAAGAGACTTGTGTAAGAGCTTTACAAATGTAGCCCTATATTCTTAGCATATAAAAGTTCCATGTCCACCTTTAACCTTTGGTGCCAATATATAAATTTTTCTAAAATAATTATAACTTCTAAAAACTTGGCAAAATGTCTAGGTTTGGCACTGTGTTTTTACCCAGAAAAAAAATTTGGTACTTACCTGTATGCTTTCTTTTTACATGCACTCTTAAATTTGACGTTTTGGAAAAGGTGACGTTGCATTCAGCACAATGTACCATTTTGTAGAGGTCAAAATTCTAATCCTAATGTCCAAATGCCTTACTTATAATAATAAATATTATGAAAAACAACAAAAAACTAAAATTTCCAAAGACCTACTCCAAAAATAAATCGTATTAACAGTAAATATCCAATTTAAAAACAAACAAAACCAGAATCGCTAAAAACAAGGTTAGAAGTTTAAATTTGAAATTTGACAATTGACATTCGCACAGAAAATCTGAACACCAAATGCTCAAACTGCGCTTGTGCAAAGCTTTCCGGCCGATGTTACTGGCGTGTAGCTAGATCCTTGTGGTAGCTACTCTTCCGAAGGCGCTATCTTCCGGAAATACGGGTAGGGCGCAAAGGTTAGCGCTGATGTTGACTAATACTTGCATCTAGTGGTGAACTCTGCTAATTTAATTCATACTACCCGCAGTTACATGGGGTTGTCAGTACGATGTTGAAATGATTTTTATTTAATATTTATCTAATATTTATATCAAGCTGCAAAACTGCAACAATACAAGCTTCCTATTATTAGTACTTATTTAATTTTCAGGGACTCTTTACCACCACACAAAAAGTCCTGGGACCAAGTGAGACTTCTTATGAGTCTCTGGAGACTGCCACAAATATTTATTGATGATATAGATGAATGTATTTGCGATAAAAAAGATATGAGTATCGTTAAAAGACATTTCATAGTAAAGATAGTACCCCGGCAAATAATCGACAGAACAGAAGAAAGGATCCAGCATCACATTAAAAATGTTATCAAAACGTTGGATATTAAAAACAGAGTCACATGCAAATTACTGCGATCTACCAGAACGTGGCTTGAAAATGCAGGTTCTCATAATTTTCAAGCAGCAAGGAAAGCTATGATTCAGGTATGATATACTAAAAGACATAAATGAACATGTTTACCTATAACAAAAGACATTTAGAAACTGAATATACCGACATTTCTACCACACCAAATCTTTTTTATTCGATTCTATAATTTTTTTTTAATTGCAAATGTATTTTTTAGTTTTTCCAAGTAACTCGGAAATTGATATTAACAATTAACTTATAAGAAAAAAAAATTCCCGAATAGCTTCGATTAAAATTTTTTTAGACGTATCTCATTAAAGTAAATACCTTTTCTTATTTAGTATTCTTTTGATAAATACTTCCTTTTCGAGTTATTTGCAATTTTTTGTCGAAAAAACGCTTTAACTAGCGATGTTTGGTTTTTTTTTCTAAAAAACTACTAAATGAATTCCTCTTCTCAATCTTTTCTCCTTCGTAAGGATGCAGTGGCGTCATGTAATTTGTTTAACTATTTCTGTCCAATTATCTCTCTCCTGTGCGTGTTGTTTGACTTCGGAGAATGAGTAACCAGTTATGTTTTTTATTTGGTCCAACCATCGTACTGGAGATCTTCCTCTGAATCTTTTAACCGCTACGTTACTTTCAACTATCATTCACTCCATGCCTTCTCTTCTTCTAGTTATATGTCTAAAATATCTCAGTATATTTTGGTTGGAAGATTGTTGTGAAGAAGGTTTTGGTTCATAACGAGCTGTAATGTCACTGATGATGATATTTTGGTTGATAGTTGTGATAAGTCTAGTTTTTACGTTAAGTTCTGCTAGAATTGAGTTAATTGTGCGATGGGCGGTCCATGATATGCGCAATATTCTCTACGGTAGACCCACAGTTCAAATGCCATTATACGCTTTGAATCGGCTTTGTTTATTGTCCAAGTTTCTGAAGCATACGTGGCGATAGGAAATATCAATGCTCAAACAAGGCGTAATTTTGTGTTTTTTGAGATGTCAGTGTTCTTCCAAATTTTTGTGAGTTTGGCTGTTGCCGATCTGGCCATTGTGATGGGTCGACGGATCTCGTCTTCGCACCCTCCACTGTTAGTAATAACGGAGCCTAAGTAATTGAATTGCCTGACCACTTCGTAACCTGCCATGGTTTCTTATCTCTGCCTGGTTGTTTCTGATTTATCTCTATCGTTGATCATCACTTTGGTTTTTTGCATATTTATTTTCAAACTATATTCTGTACTCACCGTGCCTAGCCTATTCATAATTTGTTCCAGTTCTTCTGGTGATGACGCCAATATAACAGTGTTATTAGCATAATATAGGTTTTTGATTTTTCTTCCTCCTATCGTTGTTCCACCTTGCCATTCCTCAAAAACTTGACGCATAATATGTTCACTACATACATTGAATATAATAGGGGATATTATGCATCCCTGTCAAACTCCAGATTTTAATTTGAAGTTTTTCGAAACCACATTATTAACTCTTACATTAGCAGTATTATTTACGTATAGTTTTTGTAATAAATAGACTAGATGCTCTGGCGTATCCATTTCTCTAAGTACATGCACATTTTATCCATTTATGACATCGAGGCTTGGAGTAGTGAACAAAGCATAAATATGTTTCTATGTTAAACTCTCGAGATTTTTCGATAATTTGACGAATATTAAGAATATATTCTCTTGCTCTTATACCTGGGACGAATCCTCATTGTTCTTGGGGAATTTGTGGTAAGAGACTTTGCTTTCATTGATGACTTTCATTGATGATGGTTAAAAGTACTTTGCTCCCGTGTAATATCATTGCTACTGTACGGTACTTACTGCAATCTGTCGATGAACCTTTTTATATATGGGAATAAACGTGAGTTTACCCCAGTCATTTGGCCACTTTCCGGTATTCCAGATCTCATTGCAAATTCTAAGCATTACTTTCATCACCAATTCTCCAATTTCTTTGAATGTTTCAGCTCTTATTCCATCTTCCCCTTCTGTTTTTCTAAATTTTAGTTTTTTAATTGCCGTCTCAATTTCTGGTATCAATATTTGAGGTTCTTTTTATAACTTCTTTTCTTTGTATTATTGTCTGGGTCGTTGTTGGAGAATAGTATTTCGCAGTTGTACACATATGTTTTTAATATAATTATTTTTGTCCCTTCTGCACAAGTGTTTTATCGTTGTATTTATGGCATAATGTACTCTCTATAGTGCACTAAATAAATTACAATTCTACAAAAAGTTTTATATTTTTTAAACTTTCACGTGTAAGTAAGAATATTTTGACAAGGATAAATTGATTCTATGTTGCTCAAAACATGGAACAAAATATTTCGAATATGCATTTCGAGTAATCTATCGCTGTACGAGGTTTGTCTCTTTAGTTTTGCGCGTTCAACCTTTAAGGCCATATGTCTTAAAGTAAACAAAGTATGCAGGTCACTTCAAACACAGGTCGAACTCTAATGTAATGACATGACAATAAGGAAGGCTACTAAAAGCAGCCCGACAAAATTAAATTAACTTACCGCTAATGTGAGTTATCAACACGAAACTATATTTAACAAAATCATTATGACCCATTATACAACAAAATTATTATATATTCAGAGATTCTAAAGTATTCACTGCCTTGCATCTCTCTCTGTTGTCCCATTCTCCATCGCTTAGGCCTCTCTTACTCATGGCATCGTCTATTCCGTTCCTCCAGGATCTTCGGGGTCGTCCTCTTTTCCTCCTACCTATGGGGCTCCATTTGGTTATTCCCTGTATCCATCTGATGTCGCTAGTTCTTCTTACATGTCTATACCACTTTAATCTACTGTTTCTATTGATGTTTTTTGCTTTATTTCGTCATTACTTCTCCTATCCATTCTTGTTACTCTGCAGCATCTTCGCAGGCATTTCATCTCTGTTGTCTACTATCTTACTGCTATTTTTCTTGTTTATAATCCAATTTTCATCCCACATTTCACAATACTTCACACTAATGTTTTATAAATTTGTCTTTTTGTCTTCATATTTAAATGTCTATCCCACCATACTGAGTTAAGTTGTCGGATTGCTGTTCTTGTTTGTCCTAAACTTTGCTTAATTTCTTCCTCTGTTGTTGCCTTTTTCGTGATTATACATCCCAAGTATTTGAATGAATCCTTTCCTTTGATTGTTACGTTGTCGTTAATCTGTAGATCTTTTATGTCTTCTTCACTTGTAGATAGGTACTCTGTTTTCACGAGGTTAATATCTAAGCCAGCCTTGATATATTCTTTTTGTAATTTCTTCATCATGTAACCGAGATCTTCTTGGTCTTGTGTAATCACTACTTGATCGTCTGCAAGCTTAACGTATATAGGAATTCGTTTCGTAGCTGTACTGCCTTCGCATTTTCGTTTGTTTACATGTAGTCAAGGCTTTCTCTAAGTATGCTTTGAATAGGGTTGGAGGTGTGGAGTTTTTGTAGTTTTTATGAGTTCCATCTATATTTCTAATTTGTACATTGCCTCCCATAGTTCTGAACTTGCTACAGAGTCATACGCCTTTCTCAGGCAACAAATACCAAATGTATATCTATATTTTTTGCTTTTTTGCCAACAGTTGTTCCAGTGTGTATATGTGGTCTATGCGTGATCTACCTGCCGTAAAGTCTGCCTAATCCTCCCCGATTTTGCCTTTTATCGCTTGCTCTATCTTTTCTTGCAGTATCTTTCCATATAATCTTCCTACTCATGATATTACGCTCATTCCTCTGTAGTTTTCGTATCGTTTTCGATCTCTTTTTTTAAATATAGATGTCATATATGCCTCCGTCCATTCCTTTGGGAGCTGTTCTCCATTTATGGCTTTCTGAAATATCCATTTTATCATCCGGTGTAATTTTTTTGAACCGTACTTTATAAGCTCAGGTGAGATGCCTTTAGTTCTCGGTGGACAACAAAACTAATATGCCTCAAATATTGGCATTAATATAAACATTTTTAATAGGTACTTCGAGAAAAAAAGTGGGTCTGTGTTCATAATACAAGATTGGTTAGATACATGTCAGAAGTACTAAGTACTTTTTGACTAGACTAAACACAGACGAAATTAATTAAATGGGAACTGAAAATAAGGTGTAGTTAATACATAAAAAACAGTTTACGAAACAATATAGGTACAGCACAATTGAAATTTAAGGGTAGTTAATACTAGAAAAATAAAAACGCTACAGTATTAGCGTTACAATATTATCTGCTAAAGCAAGTAATGTATAGAACTGGATTTCTTTAGTTTAAAATTAATTATTTTCATTTTCATTTCAATTGGTTACTTACTAGGAAGGATTAGAAATATTGGTTCTAATATGATATAAAACTCTCAATGGTTTTCTTTATTGCGCAACATTTTCCATTTAAACGAATATATTTGTTATATATTTTATTTAATTGTTTGTAATTAATTCTATTTAAGATTTATAAACAAGATCCAAATTTAATTAGAGAAGATCGAGGAAGAGAAAGCCCAGCTGTTTTTGACAGTGTTCTGGAAAAGAACATTGTTATGGTACCACTTTGTTCCAAGAACTCAAATCATGCTGAGGCGAATGAAAGAATTTCTGCTAGATGCTACTACGAAGGAACAAAATTGTTGGCGGCCTACATGTTCCAGCTAGCCGAGAAACCTAAATCAAAAGCAAATTTAAAGTCTTAATATTTATACTTATATTTTAGAGTCCCGTTAGTATTGTTTTAAACTTATATAATTATTATAGAAATATTTTTTACAATAAAATATATATAATTTAATAAGATCAATAATTTAGTAAACAAATAGTAAAAGATCTGTATCAAAAAGCTTCTTAACCAGAATGAAAAATAGCTTTTATGGCTTCAAAATCAAATAAAGCTTACGATCCGATCACAATGGAAAGCAGTTAACGGACTAAATAAAATAATCAAGCACGAATATTTTTCCAGAGTATTTTCTATCACGACGATATGTCCCGACTTATGTTTAAGACAGGCGATACAAAATATTCTTAAATTACATAGCTATAAACTTACCGAATATCCTATTAAAACTTACAACAAAGATTATAATTAATAAAGTCAATAGTTTACTTCCAGAGAAGACAAACAACAATCGCAAATAACAGCTCAGATCACGCGCGTATGCGGTGTTTGTCCTTTCCGGCTTTTCCAAGAGCCCCATTGTATGTAGACGTCCCTTGATTTAGGTATGTTCAGTGAGGAATTATGCTATGTTCTTGAACGAGTATACTTTTCCAGTGAGAGTTATGTTGTGTTCGGAACCAGGCTTTTTTCCAGCCAGACACCGTGTTTTTGGAAAAGAGTATTGGATTGATCTACAGTTGATTATTCGTTGGTTTATTCTAACTCAGTATTGTTATGTAGCGTGTTTAAATAAACCGAGCGGTTCGAATTTATATAAATATATTTATTTATAAGTTTACAGTTCAGTAATATCTTAACAACTAAATTAACTCATAACATCGTTACATATATATATATATATAATATATATATTTATATATATATATAATATATATATATATATATATATATATATATATATATATATATATATAACACTGTTTTTGATGGGTTGGAGTCAATAAAAGGGGCTATTTGTTGACTATTTTTACTCGAGCTTTCAATTGTGATTACAATTTTTATCAAGAGCTTCTAAAAAATACAAAATGTCTTACAAAGTTGAACTAGAAATAAAAAATTTTTTTGTTAACTCACCAAATAAAATTAGTTTTTTATATAAAACTACTGCTTACATAATAAATACAAAAAATATTAATAAAAAAATTGTCTTATTCTAACAAATGTTTCTCTGAAAAATTTAGATGAAGTTTCTTAAGAAAAAAATTGAAATTATAAACAAATATAGAATAGCTACAACCAGCCTAAAACGTCATAAATACTAACTTAAAAATTTTATTTCTGACATTGTCAAAAATAAAATTTGTTAAACAAAATTTTATTTTGACAATATGTCAAAAATAAAAATTTTTAAGTTAGTATTTATGACGTTTTAGGCTGGTTGTAGCTATTCTATATTTGTTTATAATTTCAATTTTTTTCTTAAGAAACTTCATCTAAATTTTTCAGAGAAACATTTGTTAGAATAAGACATTTTTTTATTAATATTTTTTGTATTTATTATGTAAGCAGTAGTTTTATATAAAAAACTAATTTTATTTGGTGAGTTAACAAAAAAAAAATTTTTTATTTCTAGTTCAACTTTGTAAGACATTTTGTATTTTTTAGAAGCTCTTGATAAAAATTGTAATCACAATTGAAAGCTCGAGTAAAAAATAGTCAACAAATAGCCCCTTTTATTGACTCCAACCCATCAAAAACAGTGTTATATTTTTTTCCAAACGAGTCACAAGTACTTCTTTTATAATATATATATATATATATATATATAATATATATATATATAAATATATATATATATATATATTGTTATGATGTGTTGTTGTTGTATGAGCTATGAGTAAATTTGAATGATATATGTAAGTATAGGGTTTTTATCGCGGTTCTCAAAGAATTAGTTTGTAAGTACTTTTTTAAATTATCTTTATTATAACTATTATGAAACAAACCTATCTATCTAATATAAGCAATATCAATTTAAAACAATCTATCTAAAATTTGAAATTCTTACAATTATTAAATTATTAACAAAATTTGGTACCTTTCTTTCACTGAACGCCTAAAGTTTTTCCAAAATTAAAGGTATTATCACCACTCGATATTTTCTTACTAATCCTTGGTTATCCAACTATTTTAATATGTTCCTTCTTAATTATCTCCACTCACCATATAAATATATAAATTTAAATCCTTGTAATTTCCATATAATGTACTTTCAAATATACTGGATCTTGTGGTTGTATTATTGAATGCTTACTTCAATGAATTAACTTCATACTATCACTATATTACTGTAGTAATAATTAATCTCAACTGTATTAGACTTAATAATTCATTTAACTTAATCAATCCCTTCTTCTAGCTAATAATCTCTTCATTACCTCATAAATTCTTGTTAATTATTCTTTGTAATTAATAATCACATGTAATTGACTTAATCAATCCTTGAATTGTTATAACTAACTCCTCAATAATAATCTTGTAACTGATTTAATTTCTTCTAACTAACTCAACTTAATTAATAATCTTCTTGTAACTAAATTCTTGAATTATAACTTTACTGACTCACTTTACTAACTGTAACTAACTAACTAACTAACTGACTTCTAACTGATAACTGATCATACTGATAACTGAACTGGTAACTGAACTCACTCTCCAAATTACATGGCTTATATTATATATTTTTTCATTTTTCGTTTCCAGAATAATCTAGCAATAAATAATGTTCGAATCATTCTATTTGTTCTATCTGAACATTCTGGAATGATTTTTTGTCTGTGATGTATTATGCAAATAGTCCCATTGACATTTCTAGAACTTTCTATTTACAATTTACTTGACTTTAGGCTCTCCAGATCAGAACTACACTATTATATGTAACTTAAACATTTATATGAAATATATTTTTACTATTCTACATCCACAATTATATTCTAAATTAACATTCCAAAAATAAATAACTTTTTGACTTTGACACTACAGTGTATGTTTGGTTGCATATGCACATGGCTGACTAAACATATTAAATATTAAATAAAATAACATAAAAAAAACTTCTTAAACTTAATTCTTATGCTAAATTCTTAAAAATACCCTCATATAATTATTTTTTAATAATATTATCTAGTATATAACTTACAAATTATGTCTTTAATTCATCATCATCATCATCCAGCCTCTATTTATCACGTCCACTGCTGGACATAGGCCTCCCTTAAACTCCTCCATTCCTCACGATTTTGTGCTCTTTGTTGCCAATTTTTAGTGATACGCCTGATGTCGTCGGCCCAACGTGTAGGTGGTCTTCCTCTACTGCGTTTGTCTGCTCTTGGCCTCCAATTTGTAATTTTGCTCGTCCATCGTGAATCGTGCATTCTCGCTACATGGCCTGCCCAATTCCATTTTAGTTCCGCCATGCGTTCCACAACATCAGTAATACTCGTCCTTCTTCGCAGATCTTCGTTTCTTATTCGGTCCCTCAACGTCACTCCCAGCATAGACCGTTCCATTCGTCTCTGTGCCACTCTCAGTTTCGAAGCCGTGGTCTTGGTTAAAGTCATAGTTTCCGCCCATAGGTCATGACCGGTAATACACATTGGTCAAACACTTTTCTTTTGAGGCTGATTGGTATGTTGGCCCTAAGTGTGTCTCGCAGTTTTCCAAAGGCTGCCCATGTTAAAGTAATTCGTCTTTGGATCTCACATGTTTGGTTATCCCTGCTGATTCTTATTTCATGACCCAAATACGTATATTTCTTCCACCAGTTCTACCACTTTGTCTTGAATAGTCAAATGGTTATTGGGGACCAAATTTGTCATAAACTTAGTTTTGGTCAAGTTCATTCTCAGGCCCACCTTCGAACATGCAAAATCCAATTCGTTTATCATATCTGTAGCTTCTCCTAAATTATCTGTGATAAGGACAATGTCATCTGCGAAACGGAGATGGTTAAGCTTTTCGCCGTCTATCGTTACTCCTCTGTGGTCCCAATTGATCATCTTAAAGGCATATTCTAATGCCGTTATGAATAATTTCGGCGACAATGTATCTACTTGTCTTATTCCACGATTTATTTTTATTGTCGGGTTTTATTGTCTATTTTAACAGTCATAGTGGCATTTTTGTAAATATTATAAATAAGCTCACTATACCTATGGTCAATCCTGCTGTCATTCATTGCTTCTATAAGGCTGTCTAATTCGATCGTGTCGAACGCTTTATGAAAATCTATGAAAGTGAGAACAAGAGGTTTGTTATTTGTTATTTGTCTTTAATTACTATTTGAATAAATTTAACATTGTATATCTGGTTGTATATATTTCTATTACTTATTGTAATATTGTTAATTTATTGCATTTCTGCTCTCACTACAATATATATATAATATATATATATATATATATATATATATATATATATATATATATATACATACCAAAGGTATTATTCTAGAATTATCCAAAGTAGTCCCAACTCTAATTCGTTGTTTGACGGATGGATTTTCTTGCGTTCGAGACATTTGTGGATGGTTCTCGATGCCCTTTCGAGATGCAACCGTTACATGGGCCATGTCGAAAGCATGTTCGTAACAGTTAGATTATCATCTTTGTGCACTTTTTCTATTTATGTAATGGGCTTAAAAACTATGCTTGAAGACTCCGTTGTTGAGTTTTTTGCTAAAGGTGGATTTTACTACTTTTTATTGACCTCTTTCTGGAAATTTGTTTTTTAAAAGTTAACTTTGTATTGCAAATTATATTTTCGTGCAGGGCACGAAATTGATTTATGTAATTTTCCTTTGTTCTTATCTGTGATATATATTATTTTTGGCATCTATTATAAACTGATTTTTATTTCTATTGCTTTACATAAATAATATTTCTATTGTTTTATATACAATCTAGGAAAAATTTTATGGTCGTATGGACCTTACGTGAGATGGAGTGAGAAACAGCTGTTTAAAAAGAGAGAGGTATATTAGGTACGCCCTTTATATCGCCGAATGGAAATATTAAA